CTCCTCCTCCCTCCCTTCCTCCCTTCCTCCCTTCGTGTGTGTTTAGAAACCTTGGCCCTGCAGTTATAAAGTTATAAGAGACAAAGATTTCTTTTGGGTCACCATTCTACTTCATCTCCCTTTTGTGTTGGAAATAAAGCCCTGAGCTCATTTTTTTCTTTCTCCAGTGCACTTAGAAGCAAGCAAGCAACCTTATTGTACTCTCTATTTTCACTAAAATAATCCATGAGAGGAACTGAAGCCCACAAACATGGATAGAACCCATGATAGACTGGAACCTGTGCTGGTCTCTGTTTGAGTCAGCTCAGCTGCCATCACTAAGTACCAGTGACTGCGCAGCTTATGCAACAGAAATGTATTTTCTCACAGGTCTGGAGGCTGGGAAGCCCAAGTCAAGGTCTGGCAGAGTTTGGTTTCTGGTGAGCACTTTTTCTGGCTTGCAGGTGGCTGCCTTTCACTGTGTCATCACATGGTGGGCATAGTGAGAGATCTCTGGTGTCTCTTCTTATAAGGGCACTAATCCTATCAGATTAAGGTCCCATCCTTATGACCTCATTTAACCTTAGTTACTCCTTAGGCCTTATCTCCAAATGCAGTCACATTGAGGGTTAGGGCTTCTATGTGTACATCTTGGGGGAGACAATTCTGTCCATAGCAATCTTTCACCATCTGTAATTTTCCAACTTCAATGATGTAGGTCTCATGCAGGAAAAGCTGGGGTTCTTTGTTACCAGTGTAGACACACATCTAGCTCAAGGGTTGTAAAAGATGAAGATGGATCCAGTGGGAAGTAGAATGGCTGTGGGCCCACCATTGTCCTGAGCCACCAAGAGGAGCTAGCAGATAATGATGGGGTCTGTGACTTGCAACAGTACCTGGTACCCCTGCAGTGACTTTCCAAGTGTAAAAGCAATAAGGCTGCAGCTTTACTTATACTTTTCAGATCTCATGTTACATGTCTCTTGTGGCCTATGCTCTGAAACTTTCAGAGACAGGAAATGTAGTTCCAGGTTACCTAAGCGGACATAGTAGGGAGAAACTAGATCATCTAACACATTTAGGTCATAAAAGGAAAGATGAATGGAGAGTTATTGATGGAGTGACGTGATCTGATAGGTGTTTTTAAAAGACCAGTCTTGTAGAAAACAGGGTACAGCAGAGCAGGTGTGGCAGAGGAACTTGGGTAGGAGTGCATCATGTGACAGTGGTGGCCTTGCCTAGGATGGTAGCCCGGGAGACGGAGAGTTCCATTTTGATGGACTGAATGTGTACATTTTAGATGAGAGAGAAGTTAGTGAATCCCAGGGCTTTAGTTGGAGTGATTAGATGAATGGTAGTACAATTAATGTAGTTAGGAAAGACTAGGGTAGGAAAAGGGTTTGGAGGATCATTCAGTAGGCATTCAGGTATTCAGCTGTAAATAGAGACAGTCCAACAAATAATTGTTTACATAAGTAAGGCGTTTTTAAGACTCAAACGATTGCAAGTCCTGGGGTAGTTATTTCAGTGCTGAAGAATGGTTCAACAAAGTCATATATATAAAAGGTTTCAGCCCCCCTCCTCCCTCCCTTCGCCCTCCCTTACGCTTCCCCTCCTCCTCCCTCCCTTCCTCCCTTCCTCCCTTCCTCCCTTCCTCCCTTCCTCCCTTCCTCCCTTCCTCCCTTCCTCCCTTTCTTCCTGCCTTCCTTCTCATCCTCAGGGTGGTTGCCTCATTGTTGCAAGATGCTTGGCAAATCTCTGTCCGCATTCTGAGCATGGAAAGATTGAAAAATGCAGGCCAAACTGGCATGCCATAAAGACTACCCCTTTTAAAGCAATTTCCCAGAAGCGACACCAAGTGATTTCTGCTTACATCTTATTGGACAAACTGGAGTCACATGACCACTGCAACTAGACAGTTGCTAGAGAGCAGGAGATATGTGGTTGCGGTTTGGATCAACCATATGCTGGATGTGTAAGTCTGAGTTACTAGTTAGGGAGCCAAGTGAAAATGTCAGGTAGCCAGCTGGACAAATGGGTCTGTATCTTGGGAGTGTCAATCTTTGGCCTACTTGGCTCACCCAGATGAACTGAAATGTGAAATAAGTTCCGGTAAGTGTGCTGTTATCCTACCCTACAAAGCATGCTGCTGTGTGCACGTGTGTGTTTATGAAGGGAGAGTGGGGCTTGAATATGACTGCAGCCTAACAGCTAAGTCTGCCGCTGGGTTAATGTAAAGAATGAGAACAAGTTTTAGCGATGTGGAAGGCTTGCACATGCTGAGGCCAGCAGCCTGCTACAAAACTGGTCAGAGCCTTGACTGTCATGTGTGCTCGGAACTCAGATTGGGCTGTTGTGAATGTCAAAAAGATGTATACCCAGTTTGTAGATCAGAGGTAAACTATGACCTTGCAGGCTAAATCCAGCCAGGTTTTGTAAATCAAGCGTTACTGGAGCACATGTTTATGTGCTGTCCATGGCTGCTCTCATGCTAAACAGCAGACTTGAGTAGTAGCAACAGAGACCACATGGCCTAGAGGGCCTAAAATATTTGCTGTCTGTATCTTTATAGAAAAAGTTTGTTGACTGTTGATCACACTTCTGTTTAGGTTAATATCAGGTTAAGTAATTATACTGTAGGTAGACTTCATTTGGATTGAATGTGTGCGAGTCAAAGATTACCTATTGGATCTCTAATTTGCTCTCTTAGTTTCCTTCCTTTGGAGACCTTCCCCTTTCTGCTAGTCATCCTATCTAGGGTATCTGTGGAATGTGCAAGCTCAGAGGACTGTCATCGCAATATACAAGATGGAGGCTTGTTCCTCGCAGCTCTGCTCGATGTCATGAAGGAGGGCTTCCTCACTCTGTTGTGTATCCTGAGGGAACTTTCAGGGTTGGTGATTGATTTCATTGCCTACCTTTGCTCAACCACTGGCATGCTTGAGAATTTTCAAGGAAATGTTGTGAAAAGTACTTGGTTAAAGTCAAGATTCTGACTGGATCTTCTGGCTCCCCAAATAGGAATTTCCAAATCAAATACTGTAGTAACCAGAAGTCTGTTCCTACTAATGACTATGCAGTAGCTCATGTCTGGTCACTGTCCTGTCAGTTTCTATGCTTGTAGAATATTGGACAGAGGAAATGAGCAAAACTAATGTGGTTTAATTTTAGAAAGAAGCTCAATGGTCAGGGTCAGGTGTTGGAGTTGTTTACCAAAGTACTTAGTTATAAAAATGGGCTTTCTAAGGATTTAGGTATGAAGTAGATGTCTTGACTGTATTACATCAGCATTTCCCCAAGTGTTCAGTGAGATAATGTATGAGGGAAGAAAAGGTTTGGTATTAAATCTGTCAGAAAATGTTGGCTTGAATAAACTCAACCTGTTCACTGCTGAACTTCTAAGTTTCTTTAATTGTTAGTGTTGACAGAAAATCTTTAATAGGAGGACATGTTATGTAGTATTTTTCAAACTTGTTTGATCATAGAACACTTGTGACTAAAAACACCTTTACTAGACTAGTATTCTGTAGAACATTCTTTGGTAAACACTGATTTAGTCAATCACCTGGCTGACAGCTGGACTGTGGAGTGGATATTTTTTCCAGGTTTCTTTGAATAATGTGATTCTAGGTTAAAAATCCTTCAATCATAGCTCACGATTAGGCCTTCACTAGTTTAATATCACAGGAGATGAATTCACTTGAGATAAGATATAAAAAACACTGTTTAGGTAGATGAAAAAACTTATGTAGTGGGAGTCATGACAGGTAAGGTAGGACATGTCTGCCACTCACTAGCTGTCTTGTCTTAAGAAAGTTACTTAAGTTATGTCTGTCCTAGGATCCTGGCCTATAAAATGTGGTAAAATGTAATGCTACCTCTATCTCAAGGGATCTCATGATTGTGTGTCTGTTTATGTGTACGACTTTAAATTTAATCCCTGTTTTAGCTGTAAGGAAACAAATTTTAGGTTCTTCAAAAGGTTATGAAAAAATGTGAAAATTTATTGAGGCTGATTTTAGTGTAATATTGTTTTTTTATAAAATAATTTTATAAAAGAGTCCATCAAGATATTACATAGAAAATGCACACTAAGGTAATATATATATACACTTCATAAAAATAGAATACATCTTGGCAATTGCTTAGTCTATTACCACCATGTACAGTGTATTGACGTTTAACATTTATGTTAATTTGAACATATGAGATTTTTAAGAAACAAACCTATCCCACTGGTATCTTTAAAAATTGTTTTCATTGACAGGAAAATAAAAAATTCTGGAATGTAAAAGTTATGAAGCTAACTGGATGAAAGTTTATATTAAAATGTTAAAGTTCCATGCCCTGAACAACTGTTGTGAGGGCAAAGCGATTTTTTTAAAAAATTATTTTCATAAGTGGTTCAGCTGATCTCACAAAATCACTGAAAATAATATCCTTGTTCTGAATGTTCAGTCAAAATAAGCACCATTTGGGATCAAACAAGACTTCTAGTAACTGTACTATATTTTTAAAAATGAGTGGTGTTTTTCTCCTTAAAATGAAAATAGGTAAATCCTATTATATTGTACCAATACTTACAAAAATTGCCAGAAGTTATTTTATAAGCTTTGATCAAAATACTTAGTAACTAACTTTATGATTCTAAAAATAGTCAAATGCTCAAAAACTCTATTTGACTCTGAATCAGTTGTTTTTGTTTTTTGTTGTTTGGTTTGGCTTTCAGGAAAATGATCCTAGGTACTACACTACTATAAACCGTCACTGATAGGTCCTGTTAGATGTTCAGAGTAATCTTTGGGAAATAACTGCTCCAGTGTAATAAATAAAATAATAAGGGACTTTTCTAGACCATATCTAGACATATCATCTAGATATGACCATGGTGGGATCATGAAAACACCTCAGAAGTACCAAGGAAGGCACACAAAACAGAGTGTAGCACCATTTTCAAGTTGCCAAGATTGCAACTGTTCAAGAGACAGTAATCTGGAAGGGGGCTTGATTGCCATGATTAATGCGGTTTAAATATGTGGAATAGGCTTTGGAGAGTTCCTTAGTATGGATAGGCAGACACAGCTATATAAACTATGAATGTGGTCTGATACTCAATGGTCCCGTTGGCACTGTAGGATGAAGCTCGGACCCTCATGCGGTAGGTCTCTGCTTCTCGTAGTGGTCGTGTTGTATACACCACTCCTTTCAGGTTTTCATCCCTCAAAGCAAAAGGAACAGTCTGTTCCTCATCTATCATGAGGAAAGTTGTCCTGGGATGCATCACTCCATCCTGCGTGTAGGCAACCAGCCGGATTAAATCTTGATTGGTGGCTATTCCAAATGGGAGGGAGACTAGTTTGTATTCCAAAGCATATGGACTCAAGGCACATTCCAAATCATTGGGTGGACAGTTCTTGAGGCAGAATCTAAGAACAACAAACATGAAATACATAGTTATCTGGAAGCAGGAGGTGGCATGATGCAGGTGATCGTGATCCATGACAACTTTCAGGCACTGCATGCAGGAGGCAGCCTGGTTGTAAAAAGCGGTAAGACTCAGTCATGTTCTGTGTCACTAACTCAAACCAGACACCAGATGACTAGGAGAAGATGCTGGTGTGAAGTCAAATATCTATCTTGCAGCTCCATTAAAAGCAGAAGTGTCTGAGCCATTGAAGTAAGTATGAATGCCACAAGAGTATTTTCTTTAAAATGAAAAGTCAGTTTTGGAAATAAAAGCATCTGCATATATATATTGGAAACATGTACTTCTTAAAGAGGAATACAAACTACTTTTTAATTATATAATATCCTAACACTGTTTGAAAGGTGAAACAAAATATATTGATATTTTATTTTTCTAAAAATAATAAAAGGTCAATTAGGATTTCCGGTGGGGAAGGGGCACTTCTTTTGTAATTGTCGTTCACATTATTGTAGATTAAAAAGCTTTATTTTCTTTTACCAGAGCGCATGTTGGCTGCTTTTTGAGTCTGATGACTTTTAAATTGTTTGCCAGAAACCGATGGTAATCAAGAGGGGGAAAAATGCACAGAGGACCGTTTTATGAAGATAGGATTCTGCAGTCATAGTATTTTTAGAGGCTTTGTTAAGTCTGTATTTTCAATTTTCTCCTTCCTATTCCACATCTCATCAGACCAATCGCAAATAGGTTTTTGGTGGATTCTGGGCAGTCCACACTTGACTATGCCACAGTAACTTGATAAGCATTACCAAGAGGAAAACAAAGTGAGCTCCAGCCAGTATTTGATTTCAGAAACACCTTCCTATTAGCTGGACCTATCCAAGAGGAACATTATCACTTGTTTTCAATCACCCTGTTAACTTGGTACCTGGACAGAGTACAACATTTCTGGAAGGAAAGAGAAAATAGAATGGTAGTTTATTCAGAAAGCAGAAAAGCCTGTTTCAGACAGAAGGAAATATAAGCAAGATGATGTATGAATGGGCAGACGACTGACTCATCTTCGCTCATCTCCATTCTCAAGGAGTGGTGAGTCAGTGAAACAACAGAAAAGGTGCCTCATGGTGGGCTCTAAGTCTGCAGAGCCCTTACCACCCTGAGGCAACACAACAGACACGAAAAACTTGCTGCTGAGGCAGAACCCACCATGTTACATGTTATATGCTGGGAAGACTGCTTCAGGCAACACTGGCAGCCAAGAGTGAGCTTGGGTGGCAGTGGCTGCTGCAGGATGAGCTCATTTCCTGGCCACTCATTGAAGAGAATACTTACTGTCACCACACATCTTCCTGGAGTTAGTGACTTCCTGTGAGTTACACATGACAAGAGACAAAGTTTATGTTGGTCAAGGAGTGGGAGGAAGGATTTTCAAAAGCGTGTCTGGGATGAGAAGGCAAGACATACCCTGAAACAGGATCCCGTTGGTAGTTGGGCGGACAGGGTGTATCGATGCACTGGTAGCTTCCTCTCATGTTGAAGCACATGCGATTGGGCCCACAGTGTACATTCTGCTCCAGACACTCATCGATATCTAGGGACGGCACAGGGAACATGCAGTATCAGCAATGAGGGTGAGAGAAGGCCATCAGAGCAGGCACTGTGGATGTGTGACTGGAAGGTGGAGGGCTAGCCTTCTCCTCCCATGAATGAACTTGGTCATATCTAAGCTTCTTCAACCACAAAATGGGGATCATGACACCTGGTGGAGTTTTTTTCCCAGATTGCCTTAAGCACATATTTCTTTACGTGAAAGGACATCAAAAAATGAGAGCTATAAAAGTAGATGGGGAGATATTAAGAGCTCTCTGGTGTCTTTTATATTTGGGCAGTACCGTGCATTTGAGTTTTATAAAGCAAGTAATATTTTAAATGCACTATGAACAAACCAAAAATTTAAAGGACAGTTGTGAATATTTTTTGCAAAGTGAAGAATCTTCTTAAAATGTGAGTGATCCTTGCCTAGTGTTTTGTTTTATAATGTCAAATTTTTGAGTGGAAAATAGGGTCTTAGATATGAAAGGAGTCAAGTTATAAATTCAGGAGAGATAGTACAGGCTAGTCAGATCTTGAGAGAGACAAACAAAACAGGATCAAATGAGTGGCACAGACACCACAAAGTAAGCTGATCAAATGGAGCAGTTCACCTGGATCTATACTGTGTTGAGTCTATCCTCTGTTGTTATGGTAGTGGGATGCTCTCCTTAGGGTAATGGTATGGGGAAAATATGCAAATGAAATACTCTTTATTTTGTTGTTTTCTACACTAAGTTAAGTAGAAACATACTTTAAGTGCTTCATGAAAATGAGTGTTTTTGAGCCATGATTCTTAATTTGGGGTTTATTTTTGAGCATCAGGGGATCTGTAAATGAAAATGTTTGCGTGTGTGTGTGTGTGTGAGACAGAGAGAGAATGTGAGATTGATTGATGGATGTATTTTCTGGAAAGAGGGTCCATGGAGTACAACACAATTTTTAAGGAATTTTAAGATCCCAAAGGTAAGAATGGTATTTTTAGAGCAGTGGTTTTCATACTGGGGCATCCTCATTCCCCTGGTGATGCACGCATGTTTTCTAGCAGTATGAATGCAGGCGTATGTTCTAGCAGTATGAATGTTTATCTCAGAGGATAAACAGAGTAAGCATATTGGTAATAAAGACTGATGGTGGCAGGCCTTATTTTATCATGGCCACAAACCAATGGTCTTAGCTCGCTATTTTATTTTATTTTTTGAGATGGAGTCTCACTCTGTTGCCCAGGCTGGAGTGTAGTGGTGCTGTCTCGGTTCACTGCAAGCTCTGCCTCCTGGGCTCAAGTGATTCTCCTGCCTCAGCTTCCTGAGTAGCTGGGACTACAGGCATGCATCACCATGCCTGGCTAACTTTTGTATTTTTAGTAGAGATGGGATTTCACCATGTTGGCCAGGCTGGTCTCGAACCCCTGACCTTAGGTGATCCACCTGCCTCAGCCTCCCATTAGCTCGCTATTTTAAATTAGATTTCGGAAGTGAGTTGGCTGTCATGGGGACACTTAATAACATTTTTGTTTGAACAGAAAAATCACCTTCGACTTTTTCTGACAGTAGATCTGATTAATTTGACAAGAATACAGACTTTCATATATAGTGGCCACCTTCCATTAACCGAGGGAGTTAAACCTGCAGCTCTGAAGTTTTGATGAAAATATATTTAAAGCTTGTGCACATTAAGATAACAATCTGTATAACAGTGCCAGAATTCACATCCTTTACAACTATTTAAACTTATAAGAAACTTTAGTGGTTAATTTTTACAAGTATGAGTAAAGTATAAGGTTTTCAAAGTCTAAGTCAATTGGCTGCATATAGCATTGGTCCTGATATAAAAGAGGGAAAAGTGACAATTAAATGGACTGAATTGGTTCTCCAGAGGTGGGTCCTGAAGGTCAAATGCACTTCTATCATGGAAGCTGTGCTAAGAACAATGGGCATGTGTTACTATGACGTCACTGTACAGTAGTACATAACCTGGTAGTTGGATAATGGTATTTATATTGGGACTTGATACAAAAATAAGCATTTTAGATTTGGCTCCAAATATGTTGTTTTCTAAGGAAAACACAGACAATGTAATTATTTACTGAAAACAATAAGTCTGCACAAAGTAAAAAGATACTGGGTTAGAATGATATGGAGTAAATAACTATTTAGTTATACGTGCTGACAATGATGTAGTATGCTATTACTAGTATTATACTAGGATTAGTTTTCCTACAGGAATGAAACACAATGTGAAACAACTTTTTATTTCAGTTAAGTCTTGCCTACTGGCTCTGTGAAACAATTTCTAATTATGATTTTATCAGTCAGGAGGGCTTAATCTCCCTGACAAAATGAGATTGTCTCAGTAATGTGAAAAGCCTTCTAGAAAAATGTGAAATTCAATTAGCCTTATCTTCTCTCATTAAAAAATTTTCTCTTCGTATTCATCGTCCACATGAATTTTATCTCATTTTCATCATGAACTCTTGCAGAAACATGAAGCCAGTGGGCTGCAGGGGACCATGATAGTGGTGGTGTGGAGACTAGAAGCTGGATGAACATCAGTGTGCATAATAAGTTGTTATTTAGTAGTTACCTTATGATATATTTTCATTGGGTAAATATGAATCTATAAAGAAATATCAGAATCTAATATAGAAATATACACTTTCTATTAAAAAGCTTTCCTTAGTACTGAGGTGCTGGGCAGGTGGACCTCTTGTGTCTCTGGTCTATTACCCTCTCCTCAGGGGGAAGCACTCTCTCTAGAAATTCACTCACTCTACTCATTTACTCTACTCACTATTCTTAAAAAAAAGAAGACAGAAAAATAAATAGAAATTGTGTTGTCTTCTGTTCATGGATGATGTGATGTCTGGTTTCTATTAAATATAAGAAAATCACGATTGAAATGAAAGTGTTTTGTAACATACTGCTACAAGAAAAGAATCCCAAAATGAGCTGAAAATTTTTATATTAACAGCTTTAGAACATATGAATGTATTTGACCAAGTGCTTCTGAATATTAAAAAAAATAATTTAGGATAAACATACTTGAAACATCTGTCTTATAGAAAATATAAGTAATTTAGATTCTTGATAAACATGCATTGCATTTTTAAAACACGGATGAATAAGAGCACTCATTTTAAATGCAGTGCTCATATGTTTCCACATTTTTAGAAGTAGATTAGTGGTGCATAAAATTAGCATAAGGATCCTTTAGTTTCTCCTCTCTGCATCTTAGGCAATTCTTGATTGGTCATACTTTTTTTCATTTTGTAGTCTGGTGACTTTCACTTTTGACTAGAGTTTCTGTCCTTGCTCAATGTCAAATTCACTTTAATTTCCCTTTCATTATTGACATTTGTATCAGTAATTTCTAAATCTTTTAAAAAACCATATGCAAATAAAAAGCAGTCTTTGGTTCCTTATAAATGCCTCAAACACTTTCTAAAACTATAAAAAGAATGCAAGTTATTCTTTAGGGCAAAGAAAAAGGCATAATTGTTTTCTCTCAAGTCTTTTTAAAACCACAAAAATATGTAACCCATTTAAATTGCAAACATTTCAAGTGACACCTGTTTCTGATTTGTCCACGTTATTTTCCACTCTCTGTAGCACAACTGAAAGCTGAAGAATGTTTTGAACTAAGTAAGGGACAAAGGCAATTAAAAAAATAAACGGGCACAATTTAGAAAGGGAGAAAAATTCTTTAATGAGAATAAAATATAACCCTTTAAAATCTGGCTAAGGGGTTTTGCGTTTCAGTGGTTATTCCAAATGCTTCGATATCTGCCCTGTTGCCTTCCTTGGTGCCTGGAGTACCCAGAGGGGGTGTGGTTTTAGTGTGGGCATCGGCACTCCTTCAGGAAGACTCTTGGGTTGAAGAACTGGGAAAAGTGATCACATCTGGATAAAGTGCTCTCACCCCATCCTGCTGCCTCAGTGCAATGCTCCTGGTGCTCACAGCATCCCAGGAGACAAAGGACTATTCTAGACATATAGATCTGAGGTCAAGTCCTACCTCTGCTCTTGATTATCTAGGACATCAAGGCTCACATAATCACTCTGAGAATTAGTTTCAGAATGGGTACAAATTATCTAATGGGTGTCCATTAGAATGGGTGCAAATTATTGCCCTTGACATATTTATACTGCTGATTAAAATGAAATAACAGTTGCTTTGGAAAAAGATAACAATATGATTAAATAAATTATTCCAGCACTTCAAATCTGAGTAAAATTCTCTGCATGGGGTAGGTTCTTAAAAATGTTTGGTGACTGATGGCCCAAAGCAAAAGTTATTGCTCAACTTGATGTTTCATCTCCAGCCCACATGACCCAGTTGGGGCTCTCAGGGAGTGTGAATGAGTGAATGGGTGGGGTAGGGTGGTGTGGGGTAAGGTGGCAGTGCTCATGGTAACTAGGGTGAAGCTATTGTCCTTAATGGTTTTGCCTCCTGGAACTCATTTTCCATGAGCTGCATCCCAGCAAGTCTTTTGTGAACCCCATAAAGAGAAAATTCAATCGAAATTTGATTGCTGCTGATAAAGCACTCTTTCGGAGCATTTATTTGCTATACTTTACAAAAGGATATAATTTTCCATGACACAAATTAATACAATTCAAAAGCTTATTAAGACCTACATAATACTCCTAGATTTTGTCTACAAAATTCAAGGGTTTCTTAGAAGATTTTTAGGAGCTATACAAATTCTTATTTCTCCTTAATATAAGTACATGTTGCAATATAATCAACCTTACCAAATTACAATGCTCCTTTCACATTTTTGTGTAAAAAGGGAACTACTGAGATTGATTTTTTTTGTCATTGCTACACTTGTCTAAAACTGTTATAGAACCAATAAGCTATATTTTGATTTATTTACATGTCTGTCTCCACTAGCCTGTAAACTCTTAAAGGGAAGACTCTATCTTATTTATCTGTTTAAATCTTGCAATGCTAGCACATAATTGTTCCACATCAATGTAGACTCAACGAATGAATGAATCATTTAATTGACTACCAAACTGATCACTCTAAAAATAAGTTTAATAAGAGGGACCACATATAAAATAATGTCTAACACTTAAGTAAATTTACTGAGTAACCTTCTCATTTTTCACTTCCATTTTAGTGGAATAGTAAAAAAAAGTTTGAAGAGATCTATTCCCATTAAGGCTTAAAAAATATATAATATGAACTGGCTTAGGCATTTTTGCTCCTTCTAGTAAGACCGTTCCAAAAAATGTTTCTCAACTATTTTCTTTGCTTACTTCCTCTCCCATTGCTTCTCCTGCTTGCAAAAGCAATGTTTGAACATAATTCTGACCCATGGGAATGGGCAAGAAGGGGAAGCCACTAGGAGAATGATTATTCAAAAAAAAACTTCTCACACTCTGTTGGTTTTTAGTCAAGTTGCAACAATAAACATCCCAATGTTTTCTCACCTTGGCATGTCTTTCCATTGAGTGTGAGTTGATAGCCAGGTGGGCAGATGCATTGATAACTTCCAAAGGTATTCTTACACTCATGCTGGCAGACATCTGTATTTTCACATTCATCAATATCTGTTCAGGAAGACGACAGAGTTATCACCACACATGAAAAAAGCAGACATTGTGACAGAGCCAACTCTCATCAAGTTGTTGATATACATTAGAAAAACTTCTTGGTGATTTTATACTCGTGTGTTAAAAAATGCTCAGAGCTATTTTCTATCAAGTTTTTTTATGTTATAAAAATATTGAATATAGTACTATATACACATTACCATATTACAAAATATGGACATTTCTTCTATGTATAAGCATATATATACTGAAGTCCGAACCTGATCAATTTTTGTATTAGTTAAGAGAGAGATGACAGAGGAAACAAATGTGGACAGGATCCTAAACCACCAAAATATGAAACTCTTTAAGGAACAGTAGAAATTTCCTAAAATATAATGTTCCTATTGAGATTAATTGCAAAAAGGAGTATTTGTTTTTATTGTATTCAAATTTTGGCTCTCTTTCTCTCTCGCAGCAGGCCTATCCATGCATAGCTTTCCCATACATAGATATCATATGGAAATGTTTTTCGTTTTTGTGACAAAAAATATTCCTCACATTTTTTACACAATTTGAATGCACTAATGACAAGTACATACATATATAGTTGTGTTACCTTTGGCAGGCCATTTAACTTCTCAAGATCTCATTTATTCTTCTGTCAAAAGGGACACTTGAGACTATCTGCCCTAATTCACAGTTTTGCTGAAAGGTTCATATACAGTAATATGTGGGAAAGTAGTCTATAAAGGGCTATCTGCTATTATTAAACAAAGCCATGAAAATGGCAAGGAGTGTGAGAATATTTGATAATTCAAAATTAATTGATATTTGCTTTAAGGTATGTGATTTGGGAGGCTGAAAATTTCTTGTCCTAGTGGTATTTTGCTTTGACTAAAATTAAAATTTGCTCATAGTCTCTGATCATACACCAACCAGTGGAAGACTAGTTAACCCCAAAGTGTTGATTCTATGACTTATGTGAGTTTTTACTTCTTTAAAATCAGCTTTAACCTAAAATAACAGAAATGTAAATGATATTGAACTCCAAGTAGTTAACACAGAGGTTTTGCAAGTATGAATTTTACAGTGCCCCCAAGTGTGATTTCTGCATTCAGATGCAATGCAATGGTCATTTTTCCTGTTACGCTTTGGAATCAATTTCTTCAAAAACTAGACTTTAGCGCAAGTCTAATAAGATTTCATAGTGTTAATTTGAATCTTTCATAACTTGTCTGTCCCAGATAGTTAATGAAAAGCATTTGGTGTTTATTGCAAGTTGGTCTTGTTGTGTAGTTCCAAAGCTGTCTACAATCTTACGGTAAATTTCTTCATTAGTCCCAATACTATAAAATACCATATTTTAAGAAATGTTTAAGCCTATGAATTGCCCCCAAAGAAACTTAAATATCCAGTAATGGACTAACTATGCATTTTCACTTTAGATTCTCCAAGATTGACCCTTACTGTGAAATAGTGGCTGCCTCAAATAGCAGATGACTGAGGAAGATGATTATGATAACATAATATAGGTTTAACATAAACAGAAGACAGAAAACATTTATAAGACTCTACTGTGATGAAGCTGCAGTCATAGATAGTGATGAAGAAGTAGGGAAATGGGTTATTAATCAGGAAACTTTCTTAAAAGAACTTGGACCTTCTGATAATTTGGAAGAAACCAGCTAATGGTGTATAGTGTGGAGGGTGTGGTTTAATTCATTTTTCATAACACAGACGTTTGCGCAGGAAAGCAAAGGTAGAACAAAAGAAAGTGCTTGTCTAAAATGAAGGCTGAGAATGGGATGGTAACCTATCACCTAGTCTGTGAAAACCCTCTAGTGGGAATGACTGTTTGGAAGAAACTGAAAGGCAAAATGTCAGATGTTAATTCTGTCAATAAAAGAATAGTGAACAACTTTAATGAAGAGTCAGATGAAAATTGTGGGCATAAAAAATTACCAAAACTCAGAACAGTTTGTAGCAGATTGACAGTATTGTTTAATATACTAGCAAGAATACTGGAGTCTACATATTTAGCAATTAAACAGTATTTGACCACATGGGACAAAATGTAGACAATTGTTAATGAATGCATTAATGTTTGGTGGTAGAAGAAGTGAGCACTGTCAACAATTCTGGTAAGCTAATCACGAGGGAGAAGTTTCCATATCCCTTATATTAAGCTGCAGGTACATCAGGGTGAAAAAAGACAGAAAAGTGCTGGAAAAAAATATGAACCTAAAAAGCAAAGGGTAAAGTTTGAGTGTCCGGACGGACTGAGGGTCCAACTGAGTAGAGATGATATGGGAAGATGAATCCACCTAAGGTTTACCAAGAAGTACATCTGAGAAGATAATAACAGGGCTTGGGCAAGGGTGGAAAAAGAAACAACAAAAATTGAAGATAGAAGGAGAAGAAATGTTTAAAAAATATTTAGCAAAAAGCATAGTTAGGAGAGAGTAAGCAAAGTGTAGAACGCTTTCGAGAAATGTAAGAAAATGAGGCTTGCAGAGTGGTCTTTGAATTTAAACAATTTCTTTTTTCCCTCCCTCTTTACTTCCCTCCTCTGTGCTTTCTTTTTCCAGCTAACAAATAGTAAAACTAATTCCTGCTTGCTAATTCCCCTTGAGTAGGTCAATGACATGCAAATTGTAGATGTTCACAGAAAATTGAGTTAAATGAGTGACAGATGGTAATGTTTGCAACTTGAGTGAAAACAAGGTCTCAATTCTTAAGTTGGAAATTATACTTCACTTTGGCAAACAAATGAAATTATAGACTTGTGAATTTAGATAGATACTGAAAGCATATATGTTAGAGCAATAGAAGTAACTTAATTTTGTCCCAACTCATACTATCTTTTCAGTGACATACAAACATATACAATAATCAAACAGCAATTCCATGGGGACTGTGGAGCAACAGTCAATGGGATGTTGATTGTCATATAGAACAGTCAACTGAGAAGCTGAAACTTTCACTTTTAAACCACTGCTTTTCCATCAGTCCGATGTGGCTATAATCTGATGGCATATTATGTGGCAATTATGTGGCAATATTTACATCCTTTTTTAAATAAACTATATTCTGGATGCCACCGAAATTTATTTCTATGTAGCATTAAATTTACTGACACCTTCAGGGTGACCAAAAAGAGAAACTTACTATCACACAATAAATTATCAGAATGCCCACATGTAAATCCATAATTTACTTGACTCAAGTCTGTAATAGTTTTAGGTGCCAAAATAAATGTCTTAAAATTTTGAGTCATTCCGGACTTGAGATCAGATGTAGTTCACTGCACCCAAACAATCACAGGTGCTGTACACATACTTTGATCAGTAAGAGAGCCCACAGAAAGGAAATGTAATATGGCTGACATTTACCTACACATGTGTCATGGCTTGCCTCAGAGCCTTCAGGGCAAGTTTTCCTAATAGTCCTTCTAGTCCTGGAGAGAGATGTTCTGCTGTTTATATACTCTGAGTAGGAGCTGTAGAGATGTGAGTACTGTCTGTAATGCTGTTGAGGTTGATAGTTGTTTCTCACAGGGGAGAACCGTGCAAGGTTATAGCTACTGTACTGAGTGCCGTAATTTGGCAGCCTCTCCAATCCAGCGCAAGATTTCCCGTCCCCTAATAAATGTTGTCCTGGCGGACAGATACACTTGAAGCTGCCGGGGGTGTTGGAGCACTGATGTGCACAAGGTTTAGGCACTTGTTCACATTCATTAATGTCTGCTCGTGTGCCATAACATAAAAAAGAGAAAAAAAAAAGACACATACATACACACACAAAACACAGGAATATAGAATGAATCTGTGAAACAAACCGAAGATATTGTTACCCTCTAAAGCCAGGCATACAGTAATTTCTCCTCAACTGTTGTGAACTTTTGAGAAAGCTTTAATCATTCAGTTATGAACATAAAGACAGATTCTGTAAATTTCCCCCTAAATACTAATGCACACATTTTATTTGAACACTCACATTGGAGCAAGTGGCTCAGAAAACGAGACACATTAGTTCTGTGAATTCATACTCCTTTGACTTTCACTTATGGCCTTAAGATCTAGGGAACTCTGTTTTCAGCCTTGTCTCCTTGATCAGTTTAAGCTAATTTGGTATACATTTTCACATGTAATTCTACGAGTAACATTAAGATTTGAAATCTTAGAAATACTACACTAAGCTTTCTCAGTTCAGCTAGGCAGAGACATCCTAAATTGTTAAAATTTGTGTCTCTTCCTCTAGGGGAAAAAAGGTACAAGAGAGTGTGGGATCACAAATGAATACAATTTTCATCAAACTTCACTTATAAAAATGTCTCAAGATAATACCTCTTAATACAATCATACGTGTACATTTGGGAAATTTCTCTCTTGTTTTTTCTTTCTTTTGACAAATATTTCAGATGGAATTCTGACTTTTCTACTGGTTGACAATGTTGGAAGCTTTCTAATATGTCCATATATAATTTTAAAAAATGTAACTACTTTTATGTTTGTTTAAATGACTTGGTCTTTCTGCAAACATCTTTGCCCTCCTAATTCTCCACATAGCAGCCAGAGAGAACTTTTCCAAATGTAAACCATATCATATTGCTTGTCTGCCCAAGACCTTTCATGTCTTGCCATCACATTCTTTATTATGGGCTCTTTATCCTCCTTACCCTCTGCCTACCTTTGCTCCAATAGCCTGACCCCTTGGTTCTTCCTTAATTATGGTCAGTGCATTCTTTTATGAATGATGTTGCCCTGGCTTCTCCTCAGCCTGAAATACACTTGCTCAGAGCTTCCCATCGTGGCTGCTCTTTCCATTTTTTTTTTTTTTTTTTGAGATAGAGTTGCTCTGTTGCCTAGGCTGGAGTGCAGTGGCATGATCTCAGCTCACTGCAATCTCTGCCTCTTGGGTTCAAGGGATTCTCCTGTCTCAGCCTCCTGAGTACCTGGGACTACAGGTGTGTGCCACCAAACCCAGCTAATCTTTTCTTGTATTTTAAATAGAGACAGGGTTTCACTGTGTTCGCCAGGATGGTCTAGATCTCCTGACCTCATGATCAGCACGCCTCGGTCTCCCAAAGTGCTGGGATTAGAGGCGTGAGTCACCACACCTGGCCTGCTCCTTCCTTTTGTCCAGTCTCTCAGAGAGGCTGCCTGGATCACAGTGCTACCACCCCAGTCTGGGTCTCTCTTTCTCCTTACTATTTTTCCTTAAAGTGCTTATCACTATCTGAAATTGTATATTTTGTGATTCTTCTTTCTCTCTCTGAAAGGTAAACTCCAGAGGACAGAGACCTGATCTGCCCTGTTTAGCGATGTAGTCCCACAACCTAGAACATCATCCAACACAAAGTAGGTGCTCAATAAACATTTGTTGAATTAATGAAGGAATGAGCTTGATATCGTGTGCCAAATCAAGCCATGAACAGTAGAAACGAAAAAGATCATATGGGAAAATGTGGTCTTAAATACATGAAAACCAGAGTTCAAAGCTAATATAGATCTTAATTCTATCAGTAGAGGGAGAAATGAAATCACATCTCTAGTTTGCATTTAATTACAAGTTTTAGAGGTAGGAATGCTGGCAAAACTACAGACTTTAAATTTTTATTTTCTGAATTAGTAATTTTGAATTAATGAACAAGCCAAGCACATTTCTCCCAATAGATTAAAAACAAGGAAACAAGGACATAGAATCAGTTCTTACCAAGATATAAACTCACCAAACATGTAAAATTTTAAAAAGTTATCTGCTTTCTATTGCTAGGTCAACACATGGAATCTGTACTTGTAACTCTTCCTATAAATTGGAAAAGGGAATGAAAGCCAAATTCTTTAATTCATTACCACAGTGGCATGAAAGAAAACAATATAGGAAGGTAGAATAAAATAGTAAATTTTGCTTTAAAAACTTTTAGTAGGTAAAAATTAATATTTTAACTCTTTTCTTTCTTTCTTTCTTTTTTTTTTTTTTTGAGACAGAGTTTTGCTCTTGTTGCCCAGACTGGAGTGCAGTGGTGCAATCTTGGCTCACTGCAACCTCCGCCTCCTGGGGTCAAGCAACTCTTGTGCCTCAGTCTCCCAGGTAGCTGGGACTATAGGTGCACTGCTGCCGTGCCCAGCTAATTTTTGTACTTTTAGTAGAGATGGGGTTTCACCATGTTGGCCAGGCTGGTCTCGAACTCCTGACCTCAGGTGGTCCACCCATCTTGGCCTCCCAAAGTGCTGGGATTACAGGTGTGAACCACCACGCCCAGCCATTCTAACTCTTGTTTTAAGGCAATGGTTCTGCATCCTTCCTTGTTTTATTCCCTAGCACAATGTCTGAGATCCAACTGGTGGCCAAATTGGTGAACAAATACATGTATTTCATTCTGAAAAGTCACTGTTATGGCTAATCAAGATTTTAAACTATATATAAATGATAATATCTAAATAGAAGACTAAAATGATGCTCTGTATTGCTGTTATTAAAAAACATTTCTTTTAAAAGAGTTTCTAGTAATGGTATTAGTTTGAATATTTGCTACATACAAAATACTATGCTAGGGATTGCATAAAGACAGAGCTATGTCTTTTTGGGAGAATTTGCTATAAATAATCGTTAAGTAGACAACAAGGCAACCAATTTGAAAAACAGCATGTAACCCAGAAGCTAGTATTGAAAAGCCCACACAATTATTTTAGTGCAATTGAATATTCTAAGGAAGACTACAGTTTGATAGATCAGTTTCTTGATTATAAATGCATTAATTTTTACCAAAAGTATGTGGCTATCTTCTTACAGATATTTTCTATTTGCCTTCATATTCAAATATGACTTAAGATGAAAACAAATAGGCAAGTGGAGAGAAATGAATGAGATATTTAAGCATTAAATATGCAATAAAGTAATAATTATCCATTTGTTTAAATTGTGTGTCCCTATTTTAAAACCTCACACCTAAACTTTCATACTACATACAAGTATACTCAAATAAAATGTATCTATGCAAACATTTATGTCATGTGCATAGAGATATAATCAATGAGATAATCTTGGTAATTAAGTTGTGATGGCAATTATATCAGAACCTCACTTTGGTATGTATGGTGTACAGCAAGCACACAGTAAGTGATTATTATCACTTGAAATGTCAGTGTAAATTGAGCTCAATATGAAGTCTCCAAAGAAGTATCCAAATTGTGTTGAATGATGTAAATCAATTTACATACCTTATTATTGTAACAAGAGACCATTTGAGGATAGAGAAAGTGCCCCTAAGCGAGTTGGTAAGGCTAGGTAACTGTATCAGTAGCTTTATTGCTCAACAAGTTCCTATTAACTTACCCATGCAGGGTCTTCCAACTCCTTGAGACCGATAACCTCTTGGGCATACACAGCGATAGCTGCCTCTTGTATTCTCACATATCTGGTTATATCTGCACTGATGGGTCCCATCTTTACATTCATCAATATCTACAGACATGGAGGCAATAAGAAGTAACATTTCCTCTTTCAAACCCAAAGTCATTGTATCTGAAATCAGCATTCTGTAGGATTGCCAAAGGTTGCATTTCTCACCAAGTGGTTGAGATCATACCAATTTACAACTTGGAATCAGAAAACCTGGGTTCAAGTCCCAGCTCTGCCACTTATTAACTGGCTGCTTTTCCTCCTCCTGCTCCCTATTATGCAGAGAGTTTTATTCTCAGATTTCTTTTTTCTCCTTCTCTATATCCCTTCCTCCTTTTGTCATCTTGTTTGTACAAGTGATTAGAGTTTAGACAGACTGAGAACAGTAGTGCTATATTGCTTCTGATCCACAGTCCCATGTTTCTAGCTGCTAGCTGGACATCCCCATCTCTTTGTTTTACCACTACTTCAAACCCAGCACACCCTCAGTGCCTTAACCTTATTCCCCTATTTGTGATAACAGCATGCCTGTGTTTCAAGTCCATCAAGCTTTAAATGATAAATGATGTTCTGTATTCCTGCTATTGAAAAGCATTTCTTTTAAAAGAGTTTCTAGTAATAATAGTTTGAACATTTGCTATATACAAAGATTGGGTAGTTCTGTTTCCTCAATCAAAACCATGTATCTCTACATTTACATTTCCACTTAGCTAGATTTTTGCTGTAGCTTCTTAAAAAGTTTCTGCTCTTTCAACTCATCTCATGCCTAGTTAATCTTATACATATCTCATGCCTAGTTAATCTTATACATAATTAGGGTCAGTATTCTGAAAAATGTTTATAGTTGCATGTAACTGTACATGATGCTCTGAGATGGCTGCTACTCTTTTTTTTTTTTTTTTTTGAGATGGGGTATCGCTCTATCACCCAGGCTGGAGTGCAGTGGCATGATCTTAGCTTACTGCAACCTCTGCCTGCTGGGTTCAAGTGATCCTCCCGCCTCAGCCCCCAGAGTAGCTGGGACTACAGGCATGCGCCACCTTGCCCAGCTAATTTTTGTATTTTTAGTAGAGATGGGGTTCCACCATGTTGGCCAGGCTGGCATCAAACTCCTGATAGAGTTGGCTGCTATTAAATGATAAGGAAAGTATTGACCTATATCTATAGTGTGAGAGCTGAAACAAGTCTTTGAAATCTAATACTTCAACTCCCATCACCAGTTGTTGTTTTTTTAAATTATACTAATGAACTCAACAACTATCAACAGATGGCCAATATTCCTTCATCTATATCTATCCCCCACAACCCTATCATATTGTTTTGAAACAAATCCAAGACACTATAATTTTATTAATATTTTAGAATTGATTTTTTTAAAGAAAAACTGCTATTTTTACAACGAGAAACTTAAACTCAAATTTCTGTGTAATCATAAGACTTGTCCAAAGGTTAGACAGCTGTCAAGAAGGAACAATGAATTTTAACACTTTATCCCTAAGTTCAGCTCTTTCTCCCTTATAGAAGGCTTTCTTGCTTTCCTTTTCCTATCATCTCCATCTAGTAACATCCCAACCTATATTTAAATGTGATCATTTCCATGACCTCCTTCATAGTGACTCCTACTGGATACAGTTACTTTCATGGGTATTCTTGTAGAATTTTATTTGTTCCTCTTTATGGTGTTTCATTCACCTTGTATTATAGGTTTTTGCTTTTTTGGGGGGAGAGGGTATAGTGGAGGGACTAGAGTAGGCCAATTTAACCCATACATTATTTCTTTCTCCTGTGTTCTTTAGCAGGAATGAGAACGGGAATGGTATCTCTCTTTTATTTTTGTAAATCCTACAGTTGCTAGCTCTGCTAACCAGGCTGGTACAGAATAGACATACACAGAAAAAATGTAGGGAGAAATATAATGTACCTTTGTGTCTGGTCATTGATGTAGAATAGATAGACAAAGCATAAATTTGGGGCAAATTATTTATTTTATTTGTCTGGTCATGGATTTGATATTTAAAGAACATACAGCTTCAAAATAATTATATTTTGAATTTTAATAAATCTCTACAGACATAATTTTTCTTTCCTCCATGAAATTCTTAACATATATGCTAAATTTCATATTAGAAATTATGTGAGATAATATTAATGCTTGTGGATATTAAACCATGTAAACCAAATGTTTAATTGATGGGAGATCAAAATGGTCATAAGTTTTCATAGTGAGCTTCCATTTCCGGGTATAGCCATGACCCTGGGACCTGGAGCTCAATTATCCGAGAAGTTGGGAGTACTTATGGAAAAAGAAAGATTTCCTTGGTAGCTTAAATTTACTCTAATCACTAGTTTTAAAATGAATGCCTTACTTGACTTGTTGATGGCAAACTGATCTCAGTCATGGAAACAGCCAGACACTCACCAATACAGGTTCCATTTTCTGCCTTGGTCATTCCATTTGGACAAAGATCAATGCACTTATAGCCACCACGGGTGTTCTTACAGTGCTGATCTGGTCTGCATACATTCTGCCTACACTCGTTCACATCTTGATGAAAGAACAAAGGTAGTGTAGATTAAGAAAATTATTTATTCAACTTTTCCAGGGAAATCATACTTTTGGAGTTTAGGGATATTATTTACATATATTCATTGCATAATCACTGTGTAAGGGTAAAGTGCTTAAATTCAACAATGTATGTAACACACTTTAAAATAGAATAAAAATCAAAAACAAAAACAAAATACTGTTTTACAGAGCAGGTAGCCATACCATTTTCTCTTCTTAGAAAAATAAAATTTATATACACTGTTAATTTCATTTGTATACATATATATGTACATATATTTATATGTATAGGTATACTTTTGCAAAAAAATTAGAGGAAATGTCATGAAGAATGGGTATGTAATTAGAAAAAGAAACTCATAAAACATAGCATTTTTTGTCATTTTGGTTTTGCATGGATTGCATACATGCTGCATGCTTGATGTCCTAAATGGGAACCGGTACCAAGACACACTTTATGCATTTAGATCAGACATCATTAAGAAGTTGTAGAGGTGTCATTCCTTTAAATTCAAAGCCCTTTTCTTACCCATGCATTTTCTGCCTTTGAGCTGATACCCAGGTTCACATCCACAGTGGAAACTTCCTATGGCATTGAAACAGCGCTGGTGACAGGGGCTGGATTCTTGGCATTCATTAATATCTGTTAAATAAAACAATACTTTCACTATATGCTATTAGGAAACCTGAGTTAATGTACCCCAAATGTTTAACATTTTAATGATCTTGATCATTACCATGTTTAAGATCTCTAAAACCTATCCAATGTATTCACACTCATGTGATCTGCCAAATACTTGACAGAATTAATTGCTGGAGAGGATCTCTCTCTTCAATACTCTTAAAAGTAGACAACTGCTAATGATACAGAACTGTCAATGAAACACTCTTCTACTTTAAGTATTTTGCCATATGGCTCTCACTCCTGTTTCTAGGAAGTTCCAGTCCTGGAATGTTACTGACAGACTGGGATGCTGAATACAGAGGAAAAAACTCCAACACTACTAAGGTCTTTTGCAATTGTCCTTTCTTCCCCTTTCTTGCTCCTTAACTTGGTGCAGGTCTTTATCACCCTGTGCCTGACTGCATTAACATCAGCATTTCTCTACATTTGCAGTCACTGCTACGTTGTATTTCCCAAACACCATCTGGGTCATAGTGTAACAAAAACTCTGCAGGCACGAACTCCTCAAACTCTTGGGGAATTGCCTGTGGTCTGTACCTTCTTTCCTTTCCTTTCCTCCAGTCCCAGAGGAAGAAAGCCCTCTTCTCTCACTGAAGAAAAGTCCCTCTATTTGAGCTTTTGAGCTCTGCAGCCCATCTTGCTCTTCCTCACCAAGATGAGGACTGTGGTCCATCAATCATTCCCTCCTCCTGTGCATTTTTAAAGTCCTTCCAGTCCATCACTGATGGGCATTTGGGTTGGTTCTATGTCTTTACTATTGTGAATAGTGCTTCAATAAACATACGTGTGCACGTGTCTTTATAGTAGAATGATTTATAATCCTTTGAGTATATATCCAGTAATGGGATTGGTGGATCAAACGGTATTTCTGGTTCTAGTTCCTTGAGGAATCGCCACACTGTCTTCCACAATCATCGAACTAATTTACACTCCCACCAACAGTGTAAAAGCATTCCTATTTCTCTACCTCCTCTCCAGCATCTGTTGTTTCCTGACTTTTTAATGATTGCCATTTGACCTTACGTAAGATGGTATGTCATTGTGGTTTTGATTTGCATTTCTCTAATGACCAGTGATGATAAGCTTTTACTCATATGGTTGCTGGCTGCATAAATGTCTTCTTTTGTGAAGTGTCTGTTCATATCCCTTGTGTACTTTCTGATGGGATTGTTTTTTTTTTTCTTGTAAATTTAAGTTTCTTGTAGGTTCTGGATATTAGCCCTTTGTCAGATTGACAGATTGCAAACATTTTCTCACTCTGATAGTTTCTTTTGCTGTGCAGAAGCTCTTCAGTTTAATTAGATCCCATTTATCAATTTTGACTTTTGTTGCCATTGCTTTCGGTGTTTTAGTCATGAAGTCTTTGCCCATGCCTATGTCCTGAATGCTATTGCCTAGGTTTTCTTCTAGGGTTTTTATGGTTTTAGGTCTTATGTTTAAGTCGTTAACCCATCTTGAGTTAATTTTTGTATAAGGTGTAAGGAAGGGGTCCAGTTTCAATTTTCTGCATATAGCTAGCCAGTTTTCTCACCATTTATTACATAGGGAATCCTTTCCCTATTGCTTGTGTCAGGTTTGTCAAAGATCAGATGGTTGTAGATATGTGGTGGTATTTCTGAGGCCTCTTTTCTGTTCCATTGGTCTATATATCTGTTTTGGTACCAGTACCATGCTGTTTTTGTTACTGTAGCTTTGTAGTATAGTTTGAAGTCAGGTAGCATGATGCCTCCAGTTTTTTTCTTTTTGCTTTGGTTCCACATAAAATTTAAAGTAGTTTTTTTCTAGTTCTGTGAAGAAAATCAGTGGTAGCTTGATGGGGATAGCACTGAATCTATAAATTACTTTGGGCAGTATGGCCATTTTCACGATATTGATTCTTCCTATCCATGAGCATGGAACGTTTGTGTCCTCTCTTACTTCTTTGAGCAGTGGTTTGCAGTTCTCCTTGAGAGGTCCTTCACATAAAATGTGGCACATATATACCATGGAATACTATGCAGTCATAAAAAGGGTAAGTTCATGTCCTTTGCAGGGACATGGATTAAGCTGGAAACCATAATTCTCAGCAAACTAACACAGGAACAGAAAACCACACACTGTGTGTTCTCACTCCTAAGTGGGAGTTGAACAATGAGAATGCATGGACACAGGGAGGGAAGCATCACACACCAGGGCCTGTCGAGGGGTTGGGAGGGGGTTAGGGGAGGGACAGCCTTAGGAGAAATACCTAATGTAGGTGATGGGTTGATGGGTGCAGCAAACCACCATGGCATGTGCATACCTATGTAACAAACCTGCACGTTCTGCACATATATCTCAGAACTTAAGTATAAGAAGGAAGTACTTTTTAAAAAATTATACTTTTTCTTTCCAATAAACCTGTAGATATAATCAAAATTTTCCTCTCATAACCAAATCCCTGTCTCAGGTCCATACTCATCTCAAGCTCCTGCCACTTCTCTCTTGCTATATTCCAAACCCTTCAAAAGAAAAATCACCATAGTTGAGCTCTTCACTTCCTCGCCTTACATTCCGGATTGCCAATGTCTCTTATTTTGTACTTGTTTTCTATTTGACATCTTTTAATTTAACCACTCAAAATCTACAATGTGTTAACTTACATAAACACTGATGTGATCATATACTTTTTTGTTTTGTTTTTGAGACAGAGTCTCTCTCTGTCACCCAGGCTGGAGTGCAATGGCACAATCTTGGCTCACTGCAACCTCTACCTCCCGGGTTCAAGTGATTCTCCTGCCTCAGCCTCCCAAGTAGCTGGGATTACATTTGTGAACCACTGCACCCGGTTGTGATCACAAACTTTTAAAATATTTTTCTTAGTGCAGTTTTTTTTTCTTCTTCCTCTTTTGGTTGGGCTCCCTTCTCCCTTTTTACCCTTCTTATCCACCAAAGGCAAACAACATTAACAATCTAGTATGAATAATTTATTTCTACTGCAGCCACATAAATATCTCCACCGAAATATATAGATCCATTTCCTTTTTTTCTTTGGTTGTTTTTCCAGTTACATACTCTTTTCTGCAAAATTATACATACCTTCCTACATCTGGATTTTTCTCATGGATGCACAGTGGTTCATGGTGTATGTACCATGCTTCATTTATTCTGTTGATAAACATTCAGTTTTGGATCCACTGTCTTTTCCTTTATGAAAAATCCTGATAACAGCTTTATTTATATTTGCCAAAACTTGGAGGCGACTAAGATGTCCTTCACTAGGTAAAATGTTTTGTTACTAGATATTTATTACTGAGCAGTGAAAAGAAATGAACTATCAAGCCATGAAAAGGGGTAGAGGAACCTTAAATGTTACTAAGTGAAAGAAGGCAATCTGAAAAGGCTGCACAATTGTATGATTCCAACTATATGACACTCTGGAAAAGGCAAAACCACAAAGACAGTAACAAGATCGGTGTTTGTCAGAGGCTGGAGGAAACAGAAATGATTCAGTGAAGCACAGAGAATTTTGAGGACAGTGAAACTATTCTGTACGACACTATCATGGCAGATACATGTTGTTATAAATTTTTGCAAACCTATAGAATGTGCAACACCAAGAGAAGCTTAATATAAGCTAGACTCTGAGTGATAATGATGTGTCAGTGTAGGTTTCTTGACTGTAACAAATGTACTGCCCTGGTAACATTTGATAGTGTGGGATGTTGATAGTGAGGAAGGCTGTGTGTGTGGAGGGAAGGGGTTACATGGGAATCTATGTACTTTCTGCTCAATTTTGCTGTGAACCTAAAACTGTTCTTAAAAATAGCCTACTAAAAATATCCTTCAACAAACATTCTGGCAGTCTTATGCAATGGAATTTTATGACATAGATTTTATTGAACTGTGTGGTATGATCTCAATCAAATGGTAACAGGCAAATGGTCATTCAAAACCACTGTGCCATACATATTTAAGATAGCTGTGGAATGTATCTGAATCAGAGCTCATGAAGAAGCTCAACTTATAAAACATATAAAATGAAGTTCAGGTTTCAGTTCTCCAGAGAGACAGCAGTCCCACTTGCTGGATATCTCCTCACTCTCTGCCTTTTATGTGGTCCCTTCCTCTTGGAGTTTCTGAGACAGTTAACTTTCGAGGAGTCAAAAGGGGAGTCTAATTCTTACTGTCATGAACATAAAGAAAAGGCCTCCATTTTTATACCTTGACAACTCAGCCCATCAGAGGTTCTTCGAAAACCAGTTCCACAATGGACCACACAGCGATAGGATCCAATTGTATTGTCACAGTCCTGACCAGCGTGGCAGGTGTGCCTACCCAAAGCACACTCATCAATATCTGCAACAGAGGGAATCATTCAACTGAGGTGAACTGAAGAACACCAGCCCAAGAACCTGCTATGAAATAGGGATACGAAAAGCCATGAAGGACACTTGAAACTAGAAAAGAGCAAGAAGGACTGAAGTTTTTGGTTGAGTCACTTCAGGTGGGCTAAATAGCTGACAAACTCACAGCAGCACGGTGTGATTAGTATCTTCATAGACTGACTAATCAGACCACTTACAAATTAGGTGGCTTTTAAGAAGTTACTTCTCCTTTCTGAGATCTTGAGTGAGATGCTCCAGGCATTCCTGCCTTGAGAGTGCCCTACATGCAGGCAGTGCATGAGCAGTGTTCTTATTTTTTCAGCCCAACCTTCTGTTTGTTGCCAAACAAACAAACCTTCTGTTTGTTGCCAAAGTGTGGGCAGAAGTAGTAGGAAAGAAGAGAATGGGTCTATCACACTTTTTCTAGGTCAAAGATTGCTTAAATGTGTCTATTAGATTTGTGAATACCTTGACAAGTTCTTCCATCTGCAGCTATGGTGAGGCCTTTAGGGCAGGAGCAGTAGTAGGTCCCCATGGCATTGTGGCAGGTATGGGAACAGGGATTCCCTGCTGTACATTCATCCTCATCTGAAAGAAAAAACAAGAAGGCCCAGATCAGTATATAAAATCCCTACTTTCTGGGAGTTATTAAAGCCAGTAAAAATAATTGCTTATAGAGGCCAAGAAGTTGAATCAACTATAATAGAAAGTACTTTAAGTGCCACAAAATGAATTCACTAAATAAAAATAATTTGAGGCATCTGAGTTATCCTTGATAGTGAATAGATGGTTAGATTACATCGTAAAACAACAATGATAATAGCTAAAATATATTTATCTACTGTGCTCTAAATGCCTTTTACCTGCTTTAACTCTTTCATCGCAGAATTCCTAGGAGATAAGTATTTTTATTACTGTCCTCATTTTGCAGGACAAAACTGAGGAACAAAGAAGTTACATAAATTGCTTAAGGTCATATAAGTCATTACTTGCAGGGCTGTCATTTGAACCTCGGTAGTCAAAAGACCACCTCTTTATCATAAGACTATATTACATTGCCTACCAATGAAAGAAAAGCGCTGTGTATGTAAATGTAAGCTCCTCAAGCCATTTACTTAGCAGTTAACTTATCTGTATATCTCTTGTGCTGGTACTTTGGTGGGATAAAATTGGTTTACATTAGTGATAAGTCCACAATCCTGCCTGTCCTCTGATTAATTCTAGGGTTCGGTGGCTTAATGTTGGATTGTGGCTCTCAAACCCACAGCAATCAAGTCACCAGATGAAGTATAGTGTTTATTGTCTGTCTGCTCACTCCACATCTATAGTTAGTCACTATCTCTGACACAGTTGGCTGTGGCCAAATTCAGAGAACATGGGCTTTGCAATTAACTTAAATTCAAATGTAGCTCTGCCACTTGATGCTGAGTGGTTTTCGGTAGTTTGACTTTTCTACATCTCTATTCCTTAGCTGTCAAATGAGATGTTTACAGAACTGTTGTGATGATTAAATACCTACGGAAAGGGCAATAGATATCCATTAAATGCTATCCAACATTGACATTTTCATTAAAATAAAACCCTTTATTTATCTCTGTACTTACCAGCACAAAAAGGTCCAACTGAGTCTAAGGTAAACCCGGAGGGGCACTGATTACTGCGATCTCCTACCACAGAGAGGAAAGCAAAGTTAACTGGCTTATTAGAATAGTTGCCCCTGGTTTCTTTCCATTAGCATCTTCCCTGGGAATATATGCCAAAGATGAAACACATAATGCAAAAATGCAATAGGTGAAAATAAGCAGGCATGGAAAACTTTGCCTGTTTCTCAACCAAGAAGTAAATGAATCCCAGTCCAGAGATTGTTGACAAGCTGCCACTGGAAACGGGTTTCTTGTGTAAGTTGTTCACATCAATAAAAAAATTATTCTGTGATAACTAAAAAGGGTCCAAGATAAATGTATATGCCAGGTATAACCACGGGCAAAGTCCTATTCTTCCAGCCATTACTAACCCTGTTTTACTCTAGAAAGAGAAATGCTGTTTTCAAGCAACTTAAAATAATTTGTGCCAGTGAAAAATAGAAACTCTGTGAAGAAGCTCCCTCCTTTTGTGGATCTCCTCCATTAGCATCATTGAGCATTTGGGTCAAAATCTCCCATGTGTGAACAAGTGTTTTCCTTTTCATCTAGTCAAAGTAAGGGGAAACAGGCATATTGTGATAGAAAAGATTTAAGTTAGATGTCAGAAACAAAAAAGCGAACAAGAACAAGAACAGATTAGTTAAGAAACCTCTTTTCCTGAAAGCATCCTAGCCTTCCTGCTCATGCAGTGGGGTGGTACTAGGATAGATGGGACAGAAACATCTAGGGCATATTGCTTGCTAAGTGATCATTGCATGGTTACTGTGTGTGTATCACAATTTAGTTTCCACTTAGTAATTTGTTCATTCTTTAATCCAACCAGTTATGTTGTGTAGGACACAATTGCGGAAAAAACATGTCATGTAAACATATTAATTTATTACCTGATAGTAGTTTTAGGTTTTTGGTGATAAATAGGGGAGATATCTTCTATTAGGTGGAATTTGGGAAGTTTTTTGGGAGATACTTTTGTTGTCATAATAAGACTATTAAAATTCAGTGAGTGGGACAGGTCCCGTGGCAGGTTTTACAAGAATGCAATGTGTAGTCTTGAAAGATGATGATCTGTCCCTTGCCTTGCAAGACTTTCATGAAAGTAAGAAATCTATAATTATCTAAGCTTTGAATGTGTCTGCCGTATATTACGCATTTTTCACGATTTAAATATATAGTGAATTTTCTAGGAATGCAGTTTTCATAAAAATTGATGGCTGATTGGACTGTTTCATTCAGAACATTACTATGAGTTGCTTAATGTTCCCCAAATAATCATACTAGGATTCAGTATATGTTTGAGTATACAACTACTTCTTTCTGTCCAAAGATTTTCATATTAAAATATGTAATGTTATGAGTTATTCTCTTTTTGTTGATTTTCATATTATAGTTAAAGTGTGTTATTTTGAATTATGTTACAATTTTTATTTCAAGACAGTAAAAGGCAATAAAAAATATTTGTTTATAATAATGTATGATAACAGTAGAAACCTTGAAAAGTATAAAATTCTGGTAGTCTTGTCAAATTGAACGAACTACTGCTGAGATTTTGATGTTTTTCCTTCCAGTCAATTTTGTGAATACATACTTAGAAATTAAATTTAGGATATACAGACTGATAATTGCCAAGCTTGACTAATCATAAAAATCATTTGAAAATCTTATTAAAAATATAGGTTCCCTTGGTCCCATTTCTACTAGAATTGCCAAGAAAGAGACCTGGGAATCTGTGTTTTTAATGGGTGTAAAGATTTTCTCATAATCACCCAGGGGTGGGCAACCCAGGTTTGACTCATACAGTGCTTTTCAGTTATTATTGTCATGAACATTTCCCTTTGTTACTTGTTTACAGTGATGCTGTCAACACCTAGAACAATGTTTAGTACACAGTAGGCACTCAACAAATATTTGTTAAATGAATAAATGAGCTAAATATTTCCTATTTCAGTGATTTTAAGTTATTGTTATATAGCTGTGCCATAACTTATGTATTTGTTTCCTACTTTGAGGATATTTATTATTTTTCTATTATAAATAACACTGGATAAAACTTCCTAAGCATTCATCTTTGGCTATTTCTGTGATTTTCATAGGACAGACTCCCAAAATGAGATAACTGAAAAGATATGAATATTTGAAAGGCTATTGGAGACACACTGCCTTCCAGAAATGTTGAACCAATTTATCCCCCTGCCAGCAGTGTGTAAGGGTGTTCATTTCCCCATACCTTTGTAATACTAGGCAGTCATCACCCTTGTTATAGTCAGAAAATAACTTATTAATTTGCATTTCCTTGCTTACTAATGAGGGTAAACAGTTTCTTCACATTTGCCATTATTTACTCTTTTGTGAGTTTCCCTTATGCAGTTTTCTACTGAGGATATTTGCCTCTTTCTGATTTTGAAGTGCCTTTGTATGTATTAAGGTTAATCATGGTTGTCAATAACATGTGATGCAAATATTTTTTCTTGGTGCATATTTTACCTTCTCATTTCACTTTTTTTTTTTCCCATGAAGAAGTTTTAAAAAATGTATTTGTAGTTAAATTTATATATTCCTTTATAATTTCTGATACTCTCTGATTGGTTTGTAAAATATATACTTTATAATTAATTTTAAAAAGACATTAGATTTTAAAGATATAAAAATAGGAGATTGACTTTATTTGAGAGTTTTCCTGACCAGTACTTTCCAAAAGCAAGAGTGCAGACCAGATATATTAGAATCATTTAGGGTCTGTGTTAAAAATACAAACTCCCAGACCCGACCGTAGACTTGCTAAACCAAAAATCTTTGTGGCCAGAAATCTGAACTTTCATCAGGCTCTCCGGAAGATTCTAATTTCACTGCAACCATACTTAGCTCTAGTATAGACCTAACACGATTTGCTAGTTAAATTACCAGGAATGCAAGCTTGCCCCCTAATGGTTGCTCAAAAACAAATTGCAAGTACACAATTCTTAAAATTGACAAGGACCATGACACATGTATCATATGTAATTCATAGAATCACAGTGTCCAAGGATAGTAAGGGGCCTTTAAAGGTCATACAGTGTGTTTCTTTATATTGTGGAACCCAGATCCCTCAACAAACCCACTTAAAGACACCACAAAGACCTTTAAGCAGTTTTGGGCTTGGGAAATGTACACGATTAGGTAGAAAGTGTACATGACTTTTCAGAAATCAATTCATGTAGTTCCAGATGGTAGAAATTCACTTATTTGTGCCCAGTTATCTTTTTTTTTTT